GGCCTTTCTTTCGCGCTCCACCTTTTGTTTTAGCTCCATCTGAAGAGCAAGAAGTTGCTTTTCCTCGAACATCTCAAGACAGGGCCCTAAACAGCGAGTCAGTTACAAGGTGAAAGCCGAATGCACCGTTGAAAGCAACGCAAGCAGCCTTCGATTGCACAAATTTACTCTGCTTCATACAGTTCGACAGGATTTACCTTTAAGAGCATCTTCGGCATCAGATTCATTATGAAGTGCTTGCTTTTCCTTTTTCTTGAGAGCTTTCAACTAAATGAAAATCAGTTAAAATTATGATTCATTTACGCAGCGAAATAAATTTCAAAAAGGACACCGTATAAGGCTGTCTGATCAGTGTGAGATGTAGCATGTGGCTATTCAGCTTAGTACGCTAGTAGAGATCACGAATTGTTAGTTAAACCTTACGGGACGATGAACAATAGACACTCGACTTACCATAATATCTACGAGGTAAGAGGTGGAAACAACTTTATATATTTGCTTAACGCCAGAATATTCAAGCAAATTTACGACATCATGAGAAAGCCAGCTCAAAGCTGCCAAGTATGCACTCAATATTGTCTTTGTACAGTATGGGACATCAGCTGCGGCAGATCACACCCGGGAATCATGCTGCTTCAGATGTCTCATCGACAGCATTAAACGGAATCGATTGAATAGCATCGAATTCCGGAGTGGTCAAAGTCTGGTTAGCAGATGGTAGGATCTTTTATGAGAGCATGTTTAACCATTAGAGATAACTACTTTCGTTGCTATTCGGTGGCAATCAAGATATCTACGTCTGACAGCGCCTTCTATAATAGCCGCCAGGTGAACAGCCGACACTGATATGTTGAGGAGAAGCATTTAATGTGATGAATCACTTAATTGTTGAAGCAATTCACAACGCGAGGAATGACAACATCATCTGATGTCTTTTTTATAGATATTACCGCCATCGAATGGCGTACTGTACGTGAAATCCAGTCTTGGAGGAGTCATGCTGTATTTGAAACAATCTGTCGCTTGATGCTTATGCGACAGCTCATAAGGAGCACCAGTTCATGAAACATCGTTCGTAATGAGCTTGAGCTAGCCCCAGCAAAGAAAGTGATGGGAAAGGCAACTGGCACTGAAGGTGAAAAACACCAAATGGACGTCGCCTGCAAAGCAACTAGTAGCAAAGAAGCGGTGCAATAGCCATCAAATCTGGTCTTGGTGGAGTTACGTATCAAAAAATAATAATAACACCTGTAAGATGAATCTAATCAAAAGATCATCATCCCTCCTAATCGACTGCCTTAAGTGACTGTTACACAGGTCATAAAGGTATGATGCCATACCTGACATGCATTCTATGGCCAAATGGAATCGAAGAACACGTTATCTAGCCGTAAATATTTTCAACGCAACTGCATCAACAAAAATCAGTTCACATCTTACTCTGCCAAAAGGACGGTCATGTTTCTGCGAAGGTCGTTTCGCATCACGCTCTGATAACTAAACTTTCACATTCCATTCCAGTTGCTGATCATAACGGGATGTCCGTATAATGCGAATCAAGTGGAGCCGAGTGAATGTGTTCAGCTGTTACTGAGAGACATACAACTGTAACGTGGTTACTGCGTAAAAATATAAAGTACTCGCAGGCACCGTTTCGGTACGAGGCAAGCAAAGCACTCTCGAAAAAGGTGCTCCCATTTTCAAAACAACTTGTTGTGCTATGCAGATATTCTCCATAAAAAAGAACAACCTTAACAGCTCCCAGTCAGATTGAGGCTTACCTAGGTTACGTAGCTAATTGTAATAAAAAATCACTAATGAACATTCTATGGATTAGTTTGACATCGTGCCGATGTCGTAGACAGTGGACAATGACAACGTATGAAACTGCAGACTAAAGTGAAGCAAAATTATCTGTATTCCCAGCAGACGCAGCGACAGCAGTAAAAACTCTTCGTTCACTCAGTGTCAATTCCTCATGGGCCGCAGGAACAGTACTTTCAGGAGGCTTAGCCAATGGTTTTTGTCCGCCGTCAAAAGAACAAACCTAATGGTCGGGATACCAAGGCACGACGATGACAGTCTACTGTACAACAAGGCCTTATGGCCTTCCCCATAGTTTTGTCAAGAGAGTGCGCCTGGAGAGCCTCATGTTCGCACCATCATTACTTGACCAATCTATAACAGTTGTGATCTCCCGATCTGGAGAAACAGTGCCTCACAAACGAGATATCTCGAACTGCTGTGTCCCGAACCCTGCCGAGTCTCGTCACGCCAACAAACTTTAGAAGAAACATCATTTCTGTCGTCTGAATCCCGGGTTGAATTCCTTAGTTAAATATCGAGCACTCGTGACCATAGGTGAGGGAATGATGTGTATACAGACTAGAAGGCAGCGAGCATCTATATACTATATTCAATAGAAACTTGTGCTGAACCCGAAATAATCCAGGATGAAAAGCTTTTTATTCATGTCCTTTACCTTTAGAACAGAATGTAACAAGAGAAAACCGGCGTGACGTTTCACTAAACGGAACAAGCCTGCAGAACAACGCCAGGAAATGCCACCATTCCATTCGCGCATTGCAGCAGCAGGAAAATCAACAAAGCAGAATGGCGGAGAATTTCAAGAATTCCTAAGGTACAAGCAAGCCTATGAAGTGGAGTCTGAAGGGTCAGCGCATGGTTTTAAGAAATAGGAATAAGTTTGTGACGCCATGGTAGATGTGGTTATGTGCCAAATGGTGTGCAAACTCTAGTGCGTTATCATCTCCATTTGACACCTAGTTTTCAGACCGTTACGGCACTTCACCTCTGACCGAATTAATCGACGCGGTGGGCTGATACAAAAGTAAAAATTAAAGAACATACTCAGAAACATTCTTTTCTCCTATCTGCAGAGCCCAACATACTGTCCTGGCTAGCAAAATAATGCTGTGACTGATGATCGCAATTTGTCGGAAAGGAACAAAAGCGATGTACAAATGGAATGAATGAATGATCTAGGAATTCTGAAAGATTTCTTTTCAGCCATCTGGTGTTTCAGCTACTTTATGTCAGTGCATCGAAAATAAGTATTGAGACCAATGTTACTGAAACAACAGAAGCAAATCCGTCTTAAGTTCTTCATAGAGCATCTTTATTCCAGCGGTATGAATACGTGATCGTTCGTTACTCGATGGTGCCACCGGATTTTGAGGACACTGCGCAAGCAGTGTAGGCGGAAGTAGTTCTGTTAATCTTAGCGTTTCATGACTGCAGCTGCTTTAAAGGTATGATGCACTCTGTTTTCCGTATTATCAACCGGTCTTTTATTCAAGTTGAATCTTTGTAATGCTTGCTGACTCACGCGAGTGTTATGCGCCGAAAAATACCCGTTTCGTAGCCTTTCGTCGTTGATGATGACTGAACCGAGATAATAAAAAATCAGACTCCCTACAGCTTCGTATCATTTCACTTGATCCAAACGGCGTCAGCCACTGCTGGCGTTCTCATCACCTTTGTTTTCTTGGGATGAATCGTAGCCCCATGTCAATCTCCACTACTATGCTGCACACACTGGTATCGAAAGCTTCTTACACTACAGTCGCGTCTGACACCACTTACGATGTTCTTCGCATTCCAAGTTAATTCGATAAACTACTGGCACCACATGACAGAACCTTACTAATCATCATTAATTGCCTTTTTGAATATAACAATACGACAACAACGATTCTAACTGTTTCGCCGCTGTATGTATAACAAACAAAGTTGAGGTGCGGAGTTGCTTGACCTCTAGCAAACAGTGGTTAAGGGTGAAAAAACAGACACTGAGCAAACGGAACCTAGTTTTACCTCGCGCTTCAGCTGAGTCACCAACCGCTGAACGTCCCATAACTGCTCTTCTTTCCTCGGATCAGTCACACCTGCCTTAAGCTGATCGTGCAGGTGATTTAGCAGCGATTCTTGTTTACTTAATTCTTCCTTTATCGCTCTAGAATATGTATACCGGTGTAAAAAAGCGATAACAACAGCAAGCATGACATATACTTTGGGTTTGACTTTAATTCGGTGAGAATGCGCGATGAATTTGGCTTCAGTGGGAAGACGTACCTGAAAACAGGAACCGAACGATAAATGAATTAATAACTAATGAATTAATAAATTAATGAACGATAAATCTCCATGCGGAAATCAATGCAGGGGCGAAGGTCGGCACCAAATGGGTACAAAAGGGGGGGGGGAGCGTGTAAGAAAACACTGATCGACACGGATGACCGCATTCTTCGCATGCGCGAACTGAAGTTACGACTTTGCGGTTGTGGGCGACGTCGAAGAACAAGAACCAGTCTAAAGAATTCAGGCCAATATCAACAGACAGAAACTGGCAAAATGGAGGGCCGACCAACGGAGAAACGGGAACACAGCAGTGACAGTATTATTTTGTGACAAGTCAGTCTTCTTAAGTGAACTGAATCAATGATTAGTGTCGCTGGATCGCGCGCAAGCTGGTCCTACAAATGACTAACGTGTGTCGCTGCCGCCGTCGTCGTTGTCCTCGTTCTCATCTGCTCCCATTTCGTCAGCGGCTCGGTCGGTAATGACTACGCGGGTGATCTGAACGAAGTGGACAACGGTCAAAGATGGTGACGACAAGAAAAGGCGTTGATCGGGAACCAGCGCTGATAACACTGATGACCATGGTCTTTGCTGGGTGCTACATGCTGACGGCGGCTGCGGGCCTTGTAACGACGGAGTGTCCGAGTGTCACGCGCTTCGATCCGAACTTGGAACCGAATTCGTCGACGCCCACATGTTTTTGCGATCCAGCAGGCATCGATGGCCGAAGTGTCGAGATCCAGTGTTTTTACGGTTCGACCATAGCTAATCTCAGCCAGGCGATCGTGGCGGTAAAGAACAGCGGTAAACAGGTGACCAGCGTGGTGATGAACAATATGGATTTCCCAGAGCTGGAACTTCCGGCTGACTTCTTCGTAGACCTCAA